CTGTGTGCTGACATCTTAGTTACACAGGGTTAAGATGACTTTGCTCTGTTTTGGGAATGCTTTTAAGGGAGGCTTTTTAGCCCCTGGAACCCCCAAATTTTGTAGGAATCTCCCGAAATCCAGATTTACCGGGTCCAAATATTCGATGTAGGATTGTGAAACTCGGTATGAGTGAAACATTGTTCAATGGCGTACAATAATGGCTAAATTTCCATTTTGAGGTCTATATCGGTCTCAATTATGATGTTGCGAAACACTGTATTTAACGTATATTTCAGTATTATTGTAATCATCAGTCTGTGGCTTGTTTACATAAGCTTTTGCTTCTTCCCAGCCTGAGACATATATTAATATAGCTTAATGGGTTTTTTTTTATTGAAATGTCTAGTATGCCATACAAGGATTACCCCTACCCCAATCCTACCCCCATCTCTAGCTGTTTGATGGTAAGGCGTGCAGGCCATACCATTGTAGTGAAGGGAAAATCTAACGATACTTTTTGGGGGCGACTTTACACTGCACTTGGAAAAGATGTCTGTAATGTTAATGGCTATTTTGGCAATCAACCAGCTTTGATGATCTGAAACTTAAGAGAGTACAATTTGATACCCACTGTCATCATCTTCAGAATACCACTGGGCATCAAAAAGGATGTTCTGGTGTTTCTCTTTTGGTATAGGTTTGATTTCAAAACTACAAACAGCATTTTGACCTTAACTGTTCATGATTTACATCAGGTTACTCTTGTGGATGTGTATCTCATATTGAGGTAGTTTTTATTTATACAGTACTTAATTATGTAGGAGCTAGAAGTGTTAAAGGAATCTGGGGGGGGGGTTGGCACATGTGCTGCCCCCCCTCCCCTCTGCCCCCAGATAAACACTCATCTTCCACGTACAGTATACAGTGAACCCTCACTTTACGCGGTCAATTGAACCCACGGAGGCCTGCGTAAAGCGAGAAATGCGTAAAGTGAACAACATAACATATGGGATTAATTGAAATAGAGACCGGGCCAACCCCCAAACTCCACTTTTTCCAACACAATACCTATGTTGTAGTAAAAATAACATCTTAATTTTATGATGGTATGCACACACAATTAATATTTAAGAGAAATACAGTCGCCAGGTTAATGTCCATTCAAATAATGGACTCAACTCCCCCCTCCTCTTCCCAGCTCACTGGCTCCTACCTCTGAGAAATGTTTGGGTGAAAACACTAGATTTTAAGGTATAGTAATAAATAATACCTCAGACTAAAGTTAGGATAATATAATTGACATTTCTGGATTCCTTGCAGGTCAGGGAATATTTTGAATGTAAACTTCATATATTTTGCACAAAAGATAAACTATTTGCTTTGTGTAAACCAAATTATTACATTAGATCTAAAATTTGTATGTCTAATGCAAAATCCATGATGTTTATATTCAAAATGATCATCATATTGTAAGAATTCCAGCAATGTAAATTATATTCTGGCTGGGTAATTTGTATGAATTTTATAAGCTAAATAAAAAAATTATACTTCACCTGCGTATATGAGTACCTAGATGCACCGTGTAAAATGAAACTCCGGTTCTGGCTAGGTACCACGTAAATGTATAATCAAATGTAGAATCCCGTAAAGTGAAACCGCGTAAATCGGAGTATTACTGTAGTATACTCTTACACTTATCTGTTCTTATTTTATCTTTATAGTACTGAACAGTATACAGTTGTCCCGTTATTCAAAGACAAATTCTGTGGTTACTTACATATAACACTTTACAGTAAATAACAATCATCTTGGTGACAATAATTGTTGACAACCAGACTTATGTCTGATTTTCAACCCAGAGAGTTTGGTTTCATATATTTTTATTGTTGATGTAATATTTTTTTAACAACCTTGTTATACACTTAAAGACCTTAAGGGCCATGATTGCATTAAAATTCACCAGTAAAGAAATATTTTACAAGTGGAAACACTTGGGAGATGTTCACAGAATCAGTGTGAGAGAGAAAGAAGGATGCCTTGGCAATGATTTAACCTACGGTACCATACACATACCTTAAATGTTCAAACTGACACAAATATTATACTTATGGTACCATATACAGTAAACACTTTAAATGTACATACAAACACAAACCATCCTTTGGATGACACCACACAGTTTAGCCAGGCAGTCTCTCAGCTGACTTAGAGATGTGTATGACTGGTACTGCACATACACACCCATGCAATTAATTTTTCTCATTTTATGTTTTTATATTATATTGTCTTTATTTCTAAACCATATTAGAGTATTGTAATGATTTTATTTTTATTTTTCTCAAATGAGCACAGACAAGTGATAAAGACGCTGAGAGATGATATGGTGGGTTGGCTCGCACGAGCGAGATCCAAGGGTAAAGGCAATTCAGGGGTCAAATGTATATAAGTGGGGTCATGTACTATGGATATGCATACTCTACAACACTACTGTATAGGTACTGTGATATAATTTCATATTTTCTGAGCATGTACAGTCAGTCCCCGACTTACGACGGGGTTAGGGACCGACGACCAGGTCGTAAGTCGAAAATGCGAAAATAATACATAGAAAATCTAAAATAAAATACGGTACAGTAAAAGTAGTCAATAATGAAAAATGAATAAAGTGTTACTGTGCACTTACCTTTAATGTAGTCAGCTGAATGCACACGGGGCCTCAATAATTTTTTTATTAAGCATGTAGACTACATTAATTGGATGAAGCAGAGGAGGAGACAGGGCTGGGTGGGTCATCAATTTTGCATTCTTCAGACAGGATAACATACTTGCTTGTTGAAGGTATTGGATCATCTTAGGGAGTGAAGAGGCAGCAGTGGTGGAGCATGAGGAGACAGCAGTGGGGGACTTCTTAAAATATGTGTCCAATTTAGACTGCGCAGTTTGCCGTTTCTTTTCATTGTAAATCTCCCTGTAGAAAGCAAATGCATCTTGGATCATTGTCAACTTTTGCAAGATGCTCTACATTTTGATCCATTTTGTCAACATTTGCATCCCTTTATTAATAGTAGCAAATGCCTCTGCCATTTGTTTCACTGAAAACTTTTTGTGGGGGTGCAGGTTCTTCTACATTTTGTCTCTCTTCTTCCTCTGTAATTTTCTGTGCGACCAGTTCAATAAGATCCTCATTACTTAGCTCTTCTGCTACACTTTCAACCAACTGCTCGACATCTTCATTTTCAATTTCTAACTCCAGCTGTTTACCCAACTCCACTATCTTGTTACTAACCTCAGAAATTGCTTCATCTTCTTTAAATCCTTTGAAACTGTTCACATATCTTTTCAGGACCTTCCATATTCCATTCATGCACTGACCTGTAACCTCATCCCATGCTGCAGCTATGTTCTTTGTACATTTCAAAATGTTGTAGTCTTTCCAAAACTCTGAGCGTTTTCTCACCTTCAGTAGCAGCAACAGCCTGAGCGAAGGTCGTATGTAAATAATATGCTTTAAAAGCAGCAATAGCACCTTGATCCATGGGTTGGATGATAGAGGTAGTGTTAGGTGGAAGGTAGACTACCTTTACATCAGGGTGCAGATCGTCCAGGTGTGGTGGGTGTCCTGGAGCATTATCTAAAATTAATAAAATCTTGAATGCAACCCCTTGTTGCAGAAAATACTCCTTGGCTCGTGGAATGAAACAACTCAGGAACCAGTCCTCAAACAGTGCTAGGGTCATCCATGCTTTCTTATTACTGCGATAAAACACTGGCACTGTGTGCTTGCTGACTTTTTAAAAGCCCTTAGGTTCTCTGAATGTTATATCATGAAGAGTTTTACCTTGAAACCAGCTACATTCCCTCCGAACAGAAGTGTGATTCGATCCTTGAATCCCGGCATGGTTTTCTCTTATTTGTGGATGTATGTCCGTTCTGGCATGCGCTTCCAGAATAAGCCAGTTTCATCCACATTAAATATTTGCTCAGGCAAATAATTTCCCTCCACGATGACACGTTCTCGCTCCTTAAAAGCTTCGGCATCAGCACTTGCTGCCTCTCCACTCACCTTTACACTGTACAAACTGTAACGGTTCACTTGCTGTGAAGTTTTGGTCGCACTAATCTCCTGCCTGCTCTTTCAGGCTTTTGAAAAGGCTTCTTGCCTTAGCCTGTATGGTTAGAAGGCTTAAGGGTACACGCTTTTGCATTTGTTCTTCCATCCACACCACAAGTAATTTTTCCATCTCATGAATAGGACCTTGTCTTTTTTCTTTATTATCGTTCCATTTATAGGTGCTGTTCCTTTCACTACCTCACGAATTCGTTCCTTGTCCTTCAAAATTGTTGATATCAATGAGTGAGAGGAGCCAAGGTCGTGTGAAATGGTTGCTACCTTTTTTCCATTTTCATATTGCATTATTATTTTCATTATCATCTCAAAAGTAATTGACTGTCTCTTTTTCTTCTGAGCACCACCAGAACTCTCACTTTTACGCTTGCCAGTCATTTTAAAGGGATTTAGAAATTAAAGTATTGTCAGTACACAGCACGACCATTACCGACAACAACGACGGCCAAACACCAACTGAGCGCGTTACGGGGTGGCCGCTGTACACCACGAGGAGGCCTAGCCCGCGCCACGCTGTCGTACGGGACGGAAACGTTTTGGTACAAGAAAATACATACAAAATATGAAAAAATATTTGTATGACTGTGGCGGTCGTAAGTCGAGGAGTACCTGTAATTGTAAATGTCTTTCTTTTGTAATTATTTGTTGTCTTAGCCCACACTTAATTTCTTTGTTTCCTTTTTAATTTTAGGATAATCTTGACCATACAGATTTATTTCTGTGATTTTGCCTTTTAAATTTATTACCTGTTGGGGAAGGGTAATTCCCCTTAAATTTACATGCAGATCATGAACCCCCTCCTCCACCTGCCAGTATTAACCATATTATGCCCTTAGTTAAAGATTTTTTTTATATTCTCTAGTAATGTGTAAACTTCCTTTTCTTTTTCCAGACATGTACTGAAGGAGCGTTTAAACATACCCCGGCATGTGAACATTGGTTTTCAAGCTCATACAGACACTATGGTTAAGTCTGGATCTACAGCCAAGAACAGGTTTACTGTCTGACACTCACAATGTTACATAGCCTCCAGTCATATATGTGTTTTACAGGCATAAAAACCAGATTCTTCTGTGCTGGGTAACCACACATGTTTGTGTTGGAGAGGTGAGATTTTATTTTACCAATGAAATCTATGAAGAGGTGGCATTTCCAGATGTATGGAGCATTTTTTCCTGTTGGAGAATGTGACAAAACTAAATGGCTACCTTGATATATTTAGTGTGTAAGAGTTTACAGAATATTTGGCACAGAATGGTTATGAAAGTGTACCAGTATGAACATACAAAGCATTAATTGCTTTACTGTTTATGATGCTTGATTGCCACATATTTAAAATGAGAAATTTGCTACTCCACTATAAGAATGGAATGTCAGTCCTGCATTGTTGAGGTTCTGGAAAAATATAGAATGTACACTGAGGAATCAGAAGAGAAGGTTAGTACTGCAGTAAAATGTTGTGCTTTTAACATTACAGTAATTTCATTATTGTGTATCATAACCATTTACAGATGATGATAATCATAAATCTTCATAACACAATTTCTTGTTACATGATAATGTGATGGGTGGTTCTTGTTACCATTTGTGTGCATAATTATGAAAAGGTTAAGTGGAAATAATAATATTTTTTTTTACATCCAAAATTCTTAAATAACCCACAAGCATACATGTATTATTTCCAACTCTTCTGAAGGTGAAGTGTATAAGAAATGTACCTGTGTTGTACTGTGCACTCTTGTAGTGGCCAGAGATATCAATTTGTTGTGGAACTGAAAAGGTGGTAAGTGTGTTTCAGTGCAGTGCGCAAGCTTTGCTGTATGTTAGTTGAGCCCTGCAAAGAGTCAGTAGCATCCTTTAGAAACTTTTTACCCGTGGTCAAAAGAATATTGATGGTAAATCACTTGTGGATGGAACATACAAAATGTTTTATCATAGAAATGGTGGCTATGGTGAAACAAGATGCACTGGAAGTTGTTACACATAGATATTTTATGTTATATATTGTTCCATTTCCAGTGATTTACATGTAATGTGATTATTGCTCCTTGGTTGGCTTCTGTTAACTTTGCTACCTTATTATATGTAACTTGGTATAGAAATGTCGGTTGACATAAGTATTTCTCAGCCGTGATTATTACCCCCGTATCCATCATGTGTTAAAAATTCTCTTGCAACTAATTACCTCGGGTATTACTTTTGAAGGGCTTATGGTATTTTATAGGAGTCTGAAATGTTTGAAAAATATTTATGTAAATGTATATAAAGCTCTAGGATATTTAAAGAGCCTTTAGATGTATCTCTTGTGGTACTGCATTGTCACTGAAAATATGATGAAAATTTGTCAACTTTGGTAGTAAACCAGCGTTATGATAAGACTTTCAGTGGAGCCAAACTTGGGGTAAGTCACTGTGAATGGTACAGTGTGTAGAATGCAGCACCTATTATTAGGAAAGGAATTAAATCTATGTGGAGGTTCAGCAGTGGGACATGTATTCAGTTCCCAAATATCCTCCCATTTAATGGTTTTATATCTTTCAGTTAAAGGTGTCTCGTTATATCGACTGTTAAATTCTGTGATAAACCTTAATTTTATTACATGTACATATGAAAGTTGTCAAGTTTGCTCTTTGAAGTCAATTTTGAGGCAGAATGCTTTAGTTCCCTATATTTATTTTTTGCTTGCATGCAAGCATTTGAGTTGCAATTATATTTGACTAATTTTCATATTAATGCAGCTGCAAACAGTCATTGAGCTTGAGGAAATTCCAATAAATTGATGAAATTGCATACCAGTTTAATTACTTGAAAAATGGAAAAGCTTATATAGCTGAAGTTTTAGCATTTGTAAGACATATCAGTGTGCTGATGGAAGGGGTACAATATTGTACGTTTTTTGTACATAGTACTCAGATATGCAGGTATGTTGAATATGTAAAACTACACTTTGCTGTTTTCTATTGGTGTATCTGTAAGATTGTCTTCTGGAAAGAAGAATGAAGCAAGTTCCAAAGTATAACCTGATGTAGTTTATTACTTGGTTGTAATTTTTAGTTCTGGAAGAAAACTGGAGTTGCTCATCTATATTTGAAATGGGTTACTGGTTCTTCAAAGATAATTTGATAATTACTATGTTATGGGCTCCGAGTTCTCCAACTATACAATAAAGTAATTCCTTTTATACTTTTGTGATCTGACTAATTAGTTACTCAGTCATGTAGAAATTTTTATACTGTACTGCTGACTGTGGAGCTTCTAGTGAGAATCTAATCAGAATATATTGATAGGTTTTTCAGGGACCCATAACTAGGACTTTCAACTTTTCCTAGGCCTTATAAACTGCAACTTGGAAAGAGCATTTGATATTACTTGTCGATTTATTATGAATTTCTGAAGGTACTGCTATTTCTTACAAAACTGTAAAAAAAAAAATAATAATAATAATAGGACTAGATATCCTTTTATAATAAATTTAGGTGTTATGAACTGAAGTAGTTTTTTCAACCTCGAGTATAAATTACTGTACTGAACTCTTCTACTCTATCGATAAAAACATTTATGCTGCCACAGGTTTAGCCAGCTCTCATTTATCAAGATTTTCCTTCATATGGTCCTGGTCAGAGGTTTTTCCTGGTATCCAACCTTGGAGTTAGCAAATCAGGCGCTTGGGTATCAAACACTATCCACATGCATAAGATTCCTTTTGATATGATAGTGGTGTCCTTTACTCTTGCTGGACGTTTGGATGAATTTGGCAAGTTTCTTTACTTTCTCAGCAAAGAACAGGCGATGGTTGATCTGCGGTGCTTTAATTGTTGAGTTGACAAATAATCTCTGAAATCTTTTTCCTCTCGAGTTCTTGGAAATTCAAAATCTAAACAAATTTGTCAATCATGTGTTGTATCCAAGCACATCTTTTTGGACACTAGACCTAGTTTTGTTTCCTGCTGACTGTGATTGTGTATTAGATGTTGAAGTTGACTCGATCAATTAGGCAGCTTCTGACAATGCTTTAGTTACTTTTGGTTTTAATGTCTCAAGACCCTTACAGTAAAACAATTATCTTCAGGAACTATCGAAACATTGACCAGATGTGGTGAAGAGAATTACAGTAGAAGATGACTCTTGGTATGGTTCATCCATAAGTTCTCTCCTTAGGGATCGTAGAGATGCTGAACGAGAGCGGCACAGGCAGCAAATGGACGGTACTAGATCAGTGTAGTGCTGTTGTTTGTTCAGTGAGGGCACGTAAAGCTGAATACTACATTAGTTAAATAGCCTTTTGCGGCAGTCATCGGACAATTTTTATACAGTTATGGATGGGCTGGAGGTTTGGAACTACTATGCCTACTTTCACTTTAGATGCTCAGCTTGCCTCAGATTTTTCCAGGTTTTTTATGACAGATGTCACAGACGAAATGACTTTCATAGTGTGTCTTTAGTTAAGGAATTTTCAGTTTAAATTTTCACCAAGTTACACCATAAACCTTACTCATTCATCATTTTGTTGGAGGGACGAACAACATTCTGTGCTATATCAAGGATTTGAAGATATTTTGTCATCTTGATCCTATAAATGTATCTAAGGTATCACTTACCAGGGATGTGATTCTGGGTCATTTTAGGCGACCCACGCGAATTGCGTAGATCCGTTGAGAAAAATTTGGTAGGGGGGGTGACCAAGACAAGAGGATTGTTTAACAATAATTAACCCTTTAGGGTCAATGGGTCTGCAGCACGAGGACGATGAGCCAGTATAGTGGCCGCACTCTACATAATCATGCTTTACATCATATACTGTACTCTATATCTTATTGGCTGCGTATTACTTGTTTTGCTTTTTATTCTTCAGTATTTCATTGACCAAAGATCAATGATGTCATACAACCCCACTGTTAGAAGCATTATAATATGCCTATTCACTTGATCCACCCTCCCCCAACGCCACTGGCGGGGAAGGGGGCAAAGCATATTTCAATATAACAAAGTTTTTATACTCATTTTAAACTTTTGGTGATCACAATTTATTCTATAACCCATGCCATATTTCATAGTTGTATAGGCATCTCAGTAGGGTGTGTCTCTCAGGAGGTCAGGGCTGTAGGGCATGTGTGCCCCCCAGGAAGTAAGGGTTGTAAGGCATGTTTGTGTCTCCCTTAAGAAGTTAGGGCTGTAAGGCATGTCTGTGTACCCCAGGAAGTTAGGGCTGTAGGGCATTGTGTGTGTCCCAGAAAGTCAGGGCTGTAGGGCATGTGTGTGTCCCCCAGGAAGTCAAGGTTGTAGGGCATGTGTGTGTCCCCCAGGAGGTCAGGGCTGTAAGGCATGTGTGTATTCCCCAGGAGGTCAGGGTTGTAAGGCATGTCTGTGTCCCACAGGAAGTTAGGGTTGTAGGGAATGTGTGCCCCCCCAAGGAGGTCAGGGCTATAAGGCATGTCCGAGTTATAAGGCGTGTGTCCTCCAGGAGGACAGGGCTGTAGGGTGTGTCCCCCTGGGAGGTCAGGGCTGTAGGGTGTGTGTCCCCAGGTCAGGCTGTAGGGCATGTGTGTGTCCCCCAGGAGGTCAGGGCTGTAAGGTGTGTGTGTCCCCCAGGAGGTCAGGGCTGTAGGGCGTGTGTACCCCAGGAGGTCAGGGCTGTAGGGCATGTGTACGTATCCCCCAGGAGGGGGACCCTATGATGTGTAGGAACACAAAACACTCCAGCAGTAGGTATAGAAGCACGTTAAAGCAGAAGAGGTTACAGCAGGAAGAAAATAAGAGGAAGTTTTTGTTACAGAAACAGTTAGAATCAAAGAAAACAGAGTGGGAGGAAATTGCTTAAAAATCGAGGAAGAGCAGAGAGGCCTTCCAGCAACAAGAACAGAAGCGTTTATTCTCCCTGAAAAAACTAGCTAATGTATTTAAAACTTGAGAATAAAACAAAACAGCATGAGTGAATATTACATGGGAAAGAAAACTAAATATTTTGTTTGTACAGTATATCATGGAACTTAACAATTTTTTTTTAGTACTAGTTATACTATTGAAACCCCAGTTGCTGGTGTATTAGAGATAAATCCCTTTGATAAGTATTAAATTTTGAATTCTCACACAAAAAAATAATAATGGTTGCCCTCATGTAATGAGGATGGCTAGCTCTAGGGCCACCTAGGTGTGAATTTGTTTAAGGTGTAGAAGCTGTCACCAACACCACAACCACACCCTGAGTTAATAAGCTGCATCACCCAGTTTCAAGGAATAGTCCGAGAAGACCGGACAACTCGCCAACTGCACTGGCTAACCATTACCTCGTAATATGATCCGCGGATTGATTAACATCCAGGTTCCCAATTACCGGTACTGCTGGGTAAACAGGCAAATGGCATAAAGAAGCCTGCCCTTAGTTTCACACTGCCCGGGAATCGAACCCGGGTCCGCTCACTTGCGAGGCGACCATGCTGACCATTATCCCACACTCCCACAGGTTGCGTGAGGAAATAGGAGAGGTGATAGCACATGATTTTGATTCTTTAAACTTTGGGGAAGTCCTATAAATTTAAGCTAGTATGCCTGTATAGACTTCAAACTCTGCCTAATGACTTTTAAGGCAGTTATATTTGGTGAACCTAAGTATTTGACCAACCTACTCAATCCTCTTGACTACACGTTGTGAAATGATTTTGTGTGGTAATAATGATCCTTCACACCTTCTGGAGCCTAGAGCAGTACAGGAATGTTCATTTGCTGCCCAATCTTTTTCCTATACTACACCCAAATTGTACAATTTGTTGCCTGCATCTATGAAGCAGCAAATGTCGTAATCCTGTAGGTGTGCATGGCAATTTCATGGCCATACTCATATGATGCAATTTCACCATGAAAAAGTGAAGAACCCTGCCAATATTTGTCATCAAAAACCCTGCTAATTATCACTATACAGTATCTGGTTGTATAAAGCAGCATTGTACATGTATACACTATGGATCCACAAAGGCTATTATGATAAGTTTTGAAAATGTAAAAAGCAAGCTTGGAATGGTTTGTTTACATTACAGTAAACCCTTAACTACGCAGGTTTAAACAACATGGCCCTCGCCCCTCTGCTTATTGCTCTATGGGTTGCATGGTATGCAAGGGAGGTCGTGTATGTGCACCTGACAAATTCCACTACTGGTCACGAGGGGTCTCTACGGTGGCGCAGGAGAGTTCGTATTTTATAGTTTTATATTATATTTTCTCTATTTCTAAGTCACATTAAAGTATTCAAATGATTTTTCCACAACTTTACTTAGTTTCATTAAATGTAAGGATGGCAACATGTACAGTACTGTATTACCATCTATAATTTTTGCTATTTTATACTTTATTTATTTTTCCTCAATATTCTCTGCTGAAATCAACTTGACAATCAATGGCCAAGAGGATAAAGTAAACTTACAGTAGGGGAGGGCCACAAGACTGGTGCCTGCACTTCAGCACCTCAGTTATCGAGAGACTTAAAGCGCCTGAAATTGCCTACAGACGGGCAAGGGGGACCTAACTAAGGTGCATAAACACCTCAAGTGGCCTTACCTGGAGCTGGCGGATGCTCGCCCCACAAGGGGTAACTTTTTAGGAGTGAAAGTTGTGAACTCTTGGAATAATCTGCTAGAGAGTGTTGTGACGACACCAAGTGTGAGCTCTTTCAAGACCAGATTTGACAAGCACTGGAGCAAGTTCAGATACATTCAGGAGCTGGTGCATGCCCAGTACTTGCCAACAGTGTGTAACAGAGATGTGACCGATCGCCCAAGCAGCTAACGAGCCAATCAGTGGTGAAGAGGATAAAAGTATGATAAATTTCATAAGCCAAAATTATTGTTCGTCAAAGAAAAACATGTAATGCTTGCACATTGAAGAAAATTATCAAATCCAATCAATCCTTAGTTCAAAATACTGTTAATCATAGTAATACCCAATAAGTTTTAAAACAAAACCTATAGCAAAAAATTTAAAATTAAACAAACTTACTCAAGGAATAAGCCCGATGCATAATAAAATCTTGGGTAGCTACTAGTCAAGCTTAAATTTGATTACTGTAATTAAAAATGTGGTACAGAGCTAGAAAATAATTTGTCTTGAATAGTTAGCTATCATGTCAAAATATATGGCTTCTTTATTTGGAGTACTAAATGGGTAATGTGTGTTGTATCAGCAATACTTTATTCCTGTAAAATATACATTTTTAATTGAAGGGCAAAGGAAATGCATAAATATTCAAACATAAAAAATTATAAAAATCAAAGTTACTGGTACCTTTTCCATACCAGTGAACTGTCACGGTAAATACGCATTGGACTTGAAATAAAAAATGAAACACTGAACCTAAAATCGTATTTTCTGGATGAATCCATCCCAAAGTGGCATCAGTACGTAACACACCCCTTTCTGGCAATTCCATATCCTAAGATAACCCCAATACAGTAATAATGTCAAGCAAGGTTGATCTTTTGAACCCAACATAGTTAAACC